TCTTTCCCTCTGTTGTCCCACAGGTCAGCTCACTTGTTCAGTCCTAACAAGAGAGCCCAGGTTTGTCCTGATGTTGAAACACACCCAACTTCTGATGACTCTCCTGTTACCCACATCCATGGAGATAGATTATTTATTATATAATTCACCAAACTAATGTCATATGCCCAAGATGTAATACCGCAAATTCTAAGGTATGTTCATGCAATTCAATGAAGGAGAAAGTCTTTCAGACACAGGTGTACCTGAAATGATGAATATGTGGGTGACGACTCTGGGCTTGAGTGTCATTGTCCAGCCATGTTTCAGAAGTGTGACCTGTCAGGGAAGAACCAGAGTTCCTTGTGCTCTCAGTGGGGAGGGCTCACAGATGTTCTCTCTTGTTCCCAGGAAAGGCAATTGCACTAATCTTGATGATGAGACTATGCTCCTGTGCTGACCTATTATAGTTTTTGACTGAAATTGTCACTGTGATCCCCAAACTGCATCTATTCACACAGAAGTGTATAAAGGTCAGGCCACATTCTCAGCATGACACATTGACACGGTTGGAGATACATCCCACTACCTTCTCCTGAGATTGCAGACAGAATCCCAAACTTCAAACGTTCACAAAAGGGAAGGTCTCCGATTTTTTTTTTCTTTTTTATGACGCACGCTCTGGGACAGATATATTCCCTCTAACCATGATGGATATGCTGAATTACAATAAACATTACATGGATGTAGGTTTATATAAATTCACTGTGACGAATATGTTTAGCTGCTGCCCTAATGTTTTGAATGGAGATTTGACAATTTAGATAACCTGGATGTTTGGTTGGTTTCATATAAATCTTCACGGGTAGAACAGCATTGAACCTATTCCAAAATCTGTCCTCGATCCATGATCACACTCATCTCCCAGACCAGCTCCTTCAGTACATCTCCCTACCTGGAAGAAGAGCACTCTGGGCTTCGTGACGGGAGGCCCCAGGAAGAGAACTGAGTTCTTAGAGGGCACAGCCAGCATCCTCCTCTCAGGGTGAGCCGCAAAGACTGGGGCCTCCCTCATCCCTTTTCACCTTTCCATACAAAGGCACCACCCACATGCAAATCTTCACTTAGGCACCCGCAGGAAACCACCACACAGTTCCTTAAATTCAGGGTCCAGCTCACATGGGAAATGTTCTCTGAGAGTCACGGACATCCTGTGCAAGAACATGAAGCACCTGTGGTTCTTCCTCCTCCTGGTGGCAGCTCCCAGATGTGAGTGTCTCGGGGATGCAGATATGACGATATGGGAGGCTGTCTCTGATCCCAGGGCTCACTGTGGGTCTCTCTGTTCACAGGGGTCCTGTCCCAGGTGCAGCTGCAGGAGTCGGGCCCAGGACTAGTGAAGCCTTCGGAGACCCTGTCCCTCACCTGCGCTGTCTCTGGTGGCTCCATCAGCGGTAGTTATGGCTGGAACTGGATCCGCCAGCCCCCAGGGAAGGGACTGGAGTGGATTGGGCGTATCTATGGTAGTAGTGGGAACACCTACTACAACCCCTCCCTCAAGAGTCGAGTCACCATTTCAAGAGACACGTCCAAGAACCAGTTCTCCCTGAAGCTGAGCTCTGTGGCCGCCGCGGACACGGCCGTGTATTACTGTGCGAGAGACACAGTGAGGGGAGGTGAGTGTGAGCCCAGACACAAACCTCCCTGCAGGGAGGCGGAGGGGGCGGGCGCAGGTGCCGCTCAGGACCAGCAGGGGGCGCGC